CTTTGAATTGAACTATGACACAATTCTAATAGGCCATTAATTACTAAATGAATCTCAATTTCAGGAATGTTTAAAGGTGAACACACATGTTTTAGAATTGATATTTTATTGATTAAAACATTTAACAGAATTTTTTTCTTCCGGTATTTAGATACCTACCTACCAATCTACCAAACTATCTACCTCAAACAACAGGAAAAAGTGTGATTCTGGGGGTGCTAAAACAACTTTTACTTTTTACCCTCTAAATAGCTTTTCAAATATAAGCTTAATAACTAAATACAACTTAACAACTGAAGCACTTATTTATAATATTTCATAACATTGTTATAGCCCAGCTCATTTAAAATGTGCTTATCTTTTGTATCAGTGAACCAGCAAAATATCCTATTGTTTCAAAATTAAAATGCTGGCAAATAACAGTTATTTCCAAGTTTATATTTGCCATTTTTTGGTATATTATAACTTACACAATTTTATTCTATAACTTCATTCAAAGATATTTTTCTTACCTTGAGTGTTCTATTTGTATTTTCCTCTGTTATACAAACACATTGTGCTATAAAGGAAAGCTGACTCTCATTATTGTAAGACCTGAAGCAGAGGCCAGGACCACTATTTACATGCTGGGCAAATGTGTAACCTCTCTGCAGGAGATAAAAGGAAGTAATAAAAACTAGTGCAAACTGAGTGCCAATTAAAAACTAGCTGCCTTTCCAAGTGTCAGAGTTTCACAACATTCTGTGAAGTCGATAATATAGCCTCTATTTTTGTGCCAAATGTAATGTGACATTTTAATACAATCACAGAAAGGTCCATAACAATATATAGATACTAAACTCCACAACCTAGAAGTGTGGTACAAGTATTTTCTCCATTTATTCATGAGAAAATTTAGACACGTAAGAAGCAATATTGGGAAATTATAAAAGTTTTTGCTTTATAAAAAAATAAATAAAGGTGAGGAATCCAAACTTCCAAGATGTTAAATAATGTGCCCACATTCATGTAGGTAACAGCAGGCTCTGATTTAAACCTACATCTAGTCTGACTTCAAAATCTATGATCTTCTATTTCAGTTTTATTCATCTATAAAGTAATAATGATAATAAAACTAGAGAGTTCAGATTTTGAAGGAATTAAATGAGATAAAGTCTATGAAAGTGTGGTTCAAATTGCAAAGCACAGCATAAATCTTACCATTGCATTTAAAATACAAGCATTCCTATAGGAAATATGGGCAATAATATTTTAATAACTATGTCTAGTGCCAAATGGGTACCAGACCGACCACTTCTTAAGGTATATAAATGTCTAATCACTATGTTGTATACCTGAAATTAATATAATATTGTATGTCAACTATAATTGAAAAATAAATTTTAAAATGTAAAGATGTGGTATATATACACTATGAAATATTATTCAACCATGAGAAAGAGAATATTCTGCTATTTGAAACAACATGGATGGAACTTGAGCACATTGTACTAAGGGATATAAGTCAAGAAAAAGACAAGTACTATTTGATATCACTTATATGTGGAATCCTAAAAAGAAAATCAAACATGTAAAAAAGAGAGTGAGAATAAAATGGCAGTTATCGGATTGAAGGTGTTTAAGGGTACAAATTTATAATGAGCATTAAGTAAGCCATAGAGATCTAATGTACAGTATAATGAATATAGGCAATAATATAATATGTAATGTGACAAATATTGTTACAATACCCATAGTACAATATATAAATGTATCAGAGTAACAGTGCTGTACACCTTAAATTTGCATGTTGTCAAATTAATCCAATAAAAAAAATTCTTTTCTCCAAAAATTAAATAAAATATAGTCATCCCTCTCCCTTTATAACTCAACTTACTAATATATATTCAATGCTTTTAACTGCTGACCTTCCTCTCTCACTATACCCAGGGAGTAGGGAAATTGTCATGTTAAAGTTATCATTCAGGCCCATATTATCCAAACTAATCAATACTAAATCCACATCCTTCCTTTCTCCTTCCTCTCTCTCAGTATTTTCATTATAGCATCTGAAATGAAGTGGGCTGGCTTCACATCCGTAACAGATAAAAGAGGAAAGAAGGTACACACTGACTTAGGCATCTGACAACAATATAGCCTGCAGTATTACATGAAAAGATTTTAAAATGTGTGTCAATAAACATTTTCTTGATTTAAGCCCTAAATCTCATTTGGTTTGTTATACTAAAGATTGAGAGCTGTTAAGATGACCAATAAGCTACACCTGCTGTTACATTTTTAGAAGAAGTCACAGAGCAGGTTACCAACACCCTTTTAATAACAGTGGAAATTATTGATATTCCCCCATATTCTTCTTTTCTTATAGATGCATACATGAATATCAGAGAAGATCTATGCCTTAGGCTGCAAGTTACAGAAATAAGAATCTTAAATGGGCTTAAATACTAAGCATATTTACTGGTTCAAGCATTCGGAAGCCCAGAGATTAGACTGGGCCCTGGTTGGAGAATGCAGGGATTCGACAAAATAATCACGGAGAAGGGCACCTTTCCTCTCTCCACTCTGCTGTGTGAGTCCAGATTCATCCCAAGATTGGTTTCCTTGGTGAATATAATTTCCTTGTTTACAACCAGTGGGCACATGTATGAACAAGATTCAGCCATGAAAAATGTGCCTCTCTTGAGCTTAATGAGGCAAACATAGGTGACAAGTCATGTGTCCCAACCACGACAGTGCCATTTGCTTACTGGTTTCGGCCCGAGGTCCTGGAGAGGCATCATGATCCATCGCTATAGGAGTGTCCCTTCCTACATGGCATTATGGCTACACAGCATAGATGTATGGATGATGGGTGGTAATCGCTATGTCTATTTCTCACGAATGTCTATAAAACTTCTCAAAGTATATCTCTAGGCATGAGCATGGTCCATGTAAAAAGAAGATATTTTTGTGGAGATAGGGATTGGGATGAAGAGACTACTCTTCTGACTTGGTTGTTATAAGTTTTCATTTTCTCTCTCCAGAAGAAATATTTCAGATTTTTACTCTGCTCAAGACTAAATAGGAGAAAGACCCTTGTCTCATATTTGAGCTGAGAAAAAGAACTACCATAAGATGTAGAGGGGAAAACTAGGATTTAGTGATGCCAGAGGTGATCCCAAGCCTCAAAGCACACAAAACTCCACAGAGATCTCAGGAAGGGCATTGGACTTCCCACATCCTGTATTATAACAAGCTCTTAATGGGCAGGACTAACAGGGCTGGGGACTGACTACCCCACTTTCCTGAGTATCCAAACTCACCAAGGTACTTCATTAATCAAATATGCTTTAAACCAGAAAATAAGTTTCATAGGTAATATATATCACGAATATAATGCTATTTTCAATGAGCAGATTTAGCAAGATGTAAAACACAGTCACAATCAAAAAGGAGAAATTAATTCGCCTCACATCAGTACTTGCTTCCTCGGTGAGCCCATGCTATACATGCATAATTATTGAAGACACCGCTGATCTCTCTTGGGGGCCCGAATGAAGCAAGAAATTGGTCTATATTAAAGAAGGCTTTAGGGGCAACATAACATAGCTGTTTAAGTGGAGAAAAGGTCATTATTTTGAGACAAGCTTTATTGGTAATCAAAAGTTTCCAAGGTTAGGTTGATTAAAACTATATTAAGGTTAATTTGTGAAGATCCAGGTAAGAAAAGGAGCAAACTGCAGGAAGCAGGTGAGTTAGCAGTAGCAAGATCATCCCTAAATCAAGTCAGCTGTTCCCTAGGCATCCAGCTATTTTCATGCTTAAAGTCCCTTCTGAACCAAACATTCCTTTGACTCCATCATCATCTGCTATATTCTTTTGTAACTATTTCCCACTCATTATCTCAGATTTTAATCATCTGAAACGGCTGATGAGCATTTAAGTTAATGGAACTAGTTAGAATTATTTTTTTAAAATACCCATAACCATTTATTCTGTTTTTAATCCCCTTTTTATTGTTCATCTTACAAAAAACCTCAAGATGGTTAAGATACTTATCACCCTGTAGAAATGGACCCCACATGATATCAAAACCATATTATGACTCTTGCATATGCCTTATGTTATTATATACAGCTACATGACTTAAAATTATATTTATGGTTATACAGTTTATATCTATATATAGTTATATATATTTGGATAGGTAAATTTATATAGATGCATTTATATTAGCATATTTATGGTCATTCTCTCAAACCTAAGAACTGCAGTTTTATGGATCCTATTGGCTATATGGTTATGTTTTAGGAATTTTAGACATTAGGACAAAAATATAGAAAATTTGCTACTTCATGTATAGAAAATTGTCACTAGTCATGCAAATTAAATGGACTTTTTTTTTTTACTGCAAATAACTTCAAGCATATATAACTTAAAAATAAATCTTTTAGCCTAAAAAAGGCCAATCATACTATCAATATATTTTGCCTTGGTTTACCAATAATAATAGAAATTTATTAAATCCATGTTTATGGCTCAGAAAATAACAAATAAGAACTCATTATATTCTTTTTTTAAAATCCTCACCAGACCATATGTTTTTATTGATTTTTAGAGAGAGAGGAAGGGGGAGAGAGAGAGAAAGAAACACTGATGTGAAAGAGAAACATAGATCAGTTGCCTCCTGTATACGCCCCGCCCGGGATTAAACCCAAAACCTTTTGGTGTACAGGATGATGCTCCAACCAACTGAGCCACTGGCCAGGGCTCATTATATTCTTAAAGCATCATTTAAAATTTTTTTCAAATATAGTGTAATTCATATCCTTAAGCTGTTTCATTAATAACTGAAGTGTTGGCAAGTGATTAAACATATAGGTTGAAAATATATATCTCTGACACTCTAAAAATATTCTATTAAAAGCAGCACCCTGCAATAATTTCTTACATTTAAACAAATGATGTGTTCAAGGTCCCCAGAACTCCTCAAAAGTGTAAAAATTTTTACAGACACTTACCAACAGTATCACATGGTTCATCTTTGTGTACACAGAAATCTTTCCTAGAAAGAAAAATATAAAATAAAAATAAACTTTTCCACAAATAAGAGACTATGTGACTCATTTTAATAGTTGTATGAATAATAAACCATAACCTTTATCTCTAAGAATTTAATAAAACTGAATATCAGATTAAATAATTTTTAGTTCTAAGAAAATGTAAGAAATTTTTATGATATCTTTTTACCTGATATAACCTGAACCATATTGTCCTCCTTCATAGACATTTCAAAAATAAAATTCCATCTTGTTTTGATTTTTATAGTATTTCATTTTATTATTACCAAAAAAAAAAAAGTATCTGATATTAGGACATGGCTTCCTGTTTGAAAAATATTGTAAGATCTCTACTTCACATGAGCCAAAAATAATTTCCAGATTGAAGATTTAAATGTGAAAAATACAATTTAAAACAACATAACATGTTATAACATAAGATTGTCAAAAATTTTAAAAGACTGATAATAATGGTTCTGATAGGTCATGAAGAATTTAACAATTTTACATAACTGGGATATAACCATGAATAATATTCTATAATTTGCTCTTTATTTGACTACTATATCTTGGAGAGCATTCCATAACAAAGTATCAACTTTTGAGGCACACTATCTGAAAGGAAAACTTCTAGCATTTATAAATATAGATTAGAAGTCTGCAATCACCTTGCTCTTCTTCCATGCACTTGATTTCTAGTCAATTTCTTTTTATTGAGTTATAGTTGGCGTACATCATGGTTTCTGGCTAATGTTAAGATTTATTTTTGTCTTTGTAGTTCTACAGTTCCATCCAGATGTGTCTAGATACCAAATTTGTTTTTATTTATCTTCTTTGGCACTGGTATATTTTTCAATGAAAAGATCCATGAACACATGAAAATTCTTACCATTTTCTTTTTAGTTAATTCCTCTCACATTCTCTCGATTCTCTTCTCCTGAAACTCCTTCAGGTGCATGTATGTCCTCATTTTAATGTCTGTAACTCTCAAGCACCGTTTTCTATTTCCATCTCTTAACCACTCTATGCAGCCTTCTAGGAGAATTCCCTCAGTTCTATCATCCAATCCACTAGTACTTCCTTCAGCTGTATCTAATTTGATTTGCAACTCAGAAATTAAGACTTTAAGTATAAATACATTTCTTTGATAGATGTTTAATTTTCCTTAATTTCCAAATCACCCATTCTTTTTTCTAGACCATCTTATTCTAACACTTTGAAATATTTTTGTGTGTTTTTAATCATGAGAATATGCTTTTACAATCCCTGTCAACTTTAGTAGTAGCAGTAGTAGTAGTAGTAGTTGTAGTAGTATTTTTTATTGTGATTCTTGGCTTTTACAATGGAAGATGATGTCATTTAGAGTTTTGGAATTCTACTGTGCACTCATTTAGTTGAGCTCACTTATGGTTGCCCTGTATAGTATAAGTTGAAAGAGGGCCACTTCAGAGCAGTTTTGCATAGGCTTTCACTAAAGTGCTTCAATAGTAGAATGATATTTATGATAGTGAATACCAGGGAGGTGCAGTTTTTTCCTAACCTGGGATCACAGTTGAGATAGAACACTTCCTGTTGACAACTTGTGCTTATTTGTAGAGCTCTTACCAGATCACGCTTTCATTAAAGGTGTAGGTAGCTACAAATTCTGGCTGTATGTCATCATTTCAGTTCCACTTTCCCACTTCACTTTGCAAAACCTCAGAGGTTTTTCTTCATGTGGAAGCTAAACCCAAGAACCCAGATTTCTGAGTCCAACAAACTTTTCCCAGGGCAGCTATCACATTACTTTAGAAGCATACTATATATATATTTTTTTTTTTTTTTTTTTTTTTTTTCCAGAGCCCTCTTTATTTTTGGCTTATCTATGCATATGAAAGGGTTTTATAATATTTTTTCTATAATCCCTATATGCCTACAGATGGGAACATTTTCTGATGATCTAGTCAGCCAGTTTATCACATAATTAAAGGAAATGAACTAATCTGTGACCAACCATATATTAATTAAGCATAGTGAAACATCTATTTGTTTATTGTTAACATTAGATCTTAATATACATAGAAACTAGCTATATAGGCCTTATTCTATTACATTTTATATCATGCACCTACTTTTACCAAACTCTTTAAAAGACTGCATAACTACCTAAATAAGATGTTCACATTGATGGCAATTGATACTTAATATTTTAAAATATTTTTTCAGAGAATCTAAAGTGGATGATATAGTAAGAGAATGTAAATGGTCCTGGATCATCCACACCCAGTAGCTAAGATTTCCAGTTTCCTTCTTCATTGTCTTTTTTTCCAATCCCTCCCCCCCCTTTACTATCTTTCTCGATGCCTGGTTCTTCATTTCTCCCTTTGATTCCAAGTACTACACAGAATCTTCTCCAGCTATCAACAACAATTCAACACACTTCTTTTGGTGCTCAACTTGGGCAAAGTTGGTCTCTGTGGTTGAAAACTAACACCAAATGATACAGAAAAATATATCCCCACCCCCTAGAGGCTGAATATAACTACAGATGAAAAAGAATGAAAAAGGTTTGCTGACATTCTTTTTTTACCAGTAAATGACCCGGTAGTCTTTCTCTGCAGCAGAAGATACAGAAATCGAATCTACCACAGGAACACCATGTATAGTGATTAATTCTAGGGGTACATTTACATAGAAAACAATGTAAATGGCTCCCTCTATTGTTGTGTAGCACACGACTTACCTATACAATTGGATATGGTAGGGATCATTAAGTGCCTCTTCTATGAGGGGAAGACTACAAAGATGAATAACATAGGCTTCTACTCTGAAGGCAAAGAAGAGGGTGAATGCAATCGCCTCTGTAATGTGATAAGCGCCCAGGATCAGTGAGGAAGGAGCCTGGGGAATTGTATTAAATAATGAATAGTTCTATTTTGCAACTGACTTTGCCAGCAAGTGAAGAGAGAAACACCCAAAACGGATGATATTGAATAATACGGTAATGCAGAAAATTAAAGAAACGCACAAAATCAAATCTTCACCTTAGGGCCAAGAATCACTGAGCACAAAGTATATTCAGATGTAGGGGGGAAAGGGATTTCATGTGCTTTTTCTAAATGTACAATACATCACATAACACATGAGGCTGCAACATGACTATTTGATTTACATAATGTGAAGCAAGGGACTTCATCTATAACTAAACGACATGATAAAACTATGACAAACGTACTGCTTATTGTCAAGGGCACTTAAGAGTTCTTCACACAGCCAATTTTTGTTCACTTAGCAAACAAATGAATAAAGCATATTATTTTGAAAAACACAAGGTCTTTTATCCAAAAGCACTGGAAATACCTCTCAGTACAATTGACGAATAAATTGTCAGCAGCATTTGAAAACTTCAGATCAGACTATAATTCACAATCTTCAACTTCTTTCCAGAGGGTCACAATAACATATTCTTAATTTCATAATACTCAAAGATTTATTGGGGGGCTGGGGGATTTGTTTGCCTAGACCTGTGATCATGTGAATTCAAATTCTCTCATTTTTGGCTCATGTTGGCCCAGTGCGCCTGAAGTCTGCATCATAGAGTTTCATTATGTGAGTTTATGGAAATGATACTGTTAGACTTTGGCAACTCGGAAAGCCAATAAATTCTGCTTAAGTTCTGATTTATATTGAAAAAAATGAAATGTAGCCTTTAATTTCCAAGAATGAAGATGCATCTGAGAATAAGTCTCATTGTAGAGTTTTATAGTGCCCTGGGTTATACCTATAAATGACTCATTCAAATATTATTCTATGATTTGTATTAAATTAATATATTTCTGCCATTTTTATATTTTATTAAATTTTCTATCTTACTTGCCAACGTCATTAGTTTGAAACTAGCTTTCAGAAGTACTGTACATAAACCAGAAGCATTTCAGTAAATAGGAAAAGCAAAGCTATCATTAACAAAATGAAATTCTAAATTAAAGGGTGTTTTCAAGAGACACAGACTTGGGCCTTCTCCCTGATTTCAAAGAAAAACGTGTGAATTACACTAAGAAATCATAGAGTTGACAGATGGGATAATATGTTTTGTGTTTTTGTTACTATGAGCCCACAAGCACTAGGTCAGCTTGAAACTATTTACTTCATTGTTATCCACAGAACAATTTAACAAATATATTACTGCAGATAGGTTTGGATTTATATAAACATTCATTTTAGTTGAAACTAAAATTAATAGCTGAGCTAAAATTTCTTCCTACTAATGTCTTCCCATAACATACAACATTTAATAATCATCTAAGATGAGCATTCACTAGAAACTAGCCTGGATATGAGTTTAGTTTGTCAAATATGGGTAAGAACATGAAATCCATGGAGATTAAAATTTTTATTTTGTTTTTTACAAGTTCCTTGCAAAACTGCAGATCTGATCATCTTTATATTTATGCTAACTAAAAAGAGATTCTTCTCTAATTAGTCAAACCACTCATTTAACCTTTCCTGATCAAATGGTGCTAGTTCACATGGCAATAAAACATTCCCTCTAGTGGGCTCATTTTCACTCTTACGGCACTGAAAGCACTGATATGGAGAAACAGTGACCCACTACACAAACCTTATCTCCACAGGGGAAGATAGGGAGAATTACTTGTCAATACCTATTAATATTTAATATGTGTATAGTCTTTGACAGATATTTTTTCTATTTTCAACCACAGATTTTTATTCCCATTATGTTCCAAAAAAACAACAAAACCCAGAAGCAATCTATTAAGTTCTATCCTAAGTCCTAGTTGTCAGCATGCAAAAACCGGAAGTCACCATTTCTGCTAAAGGATCGAGGTGTACAAATTTTTTTCTATGAAACATGAAGTCGCTTACCAAAGCTGTAACAAATTTTACCTACCAAAAAGGCTTTTCCACTAGGTTTTGAATGGAAGTCCTGTTTCGACAGTGAAGCTTGGGTTTTCTATCCATAACTAAAAGATATACTAGAAACAATACTGCCTTATTTTGTCTT